CGGGTGCCCTGGGAGGCCCGGCCGGGGGCGGGGCGCTGCTGGGGAAGGAGGAAGGCCTCTGCCTGACCTCCGTACTTCGGGCGAAGGCCCCCGTGAAGAGGGTCACCTGGAACCTGCAGGAGGCGGCGGGTGGCGCTCTGGCTGAGGACCGAGGCCTGCGTGAGTAGGGGCTCCTGTGGCCTCACAGGTGGGCCGGGGCACCCCGGAGGATGGCACAGAGCGGGCACCGGGGTCACTCTGGTAGGGAGGTGGCTGCATCCAGCCTGTGTCCTTGGTGCTGGGATGCTGCTCTGGAGTTTTGCAGCGGGAGGTAGGTTCCGTCCTGGGTGGTCACAGAACACCCACCTCCCCGTGTTGGCCCTCAGGGACCCCACTGCACAGGCCCCAGCAGCCGCAGGAAGAGGCGTGGGAACCCGGAGACGGAGGCCTTGTGGTGGACTCCCAGCAGGCACCCTGCCCCGAGCCCCCTCCTGCTTACACGCTTCCAGAGCCTGGCTTTCCCACTGCAGACCCCGCCCAGGTGGGTGTCAGGGCTGCGGGGGGAGGTAACTTTGCCCGTGGGCCACGAGGGCTGCGCCTGGCCGGGGTGCTGCCAGCATCGAAGCTGCGCTCAGCGGACTGTTCTTGCCCAGGTTTATGGCCCCAGCCTGCCTCCCGCCCTGGCTCTGCCCTCAAGTGTCCCGCCCTACGCACCGGTCAGCCAGCCCACGGTGCAGTTCATCCTGCAAGGGAGCCTCCCGCTGGCGGGCAGGGGGGCGGCACCCAGCCTGGCCCCAGTGCCCACCGTCCTGACCACAGCCTCTGAGCCGGCTGGCCACGCTGCCGCCACCAACAACTCCGAGGAGAGGACGGCCACTCCCCGGCCAGCCACAGAGAAAGCCAAGAACGAGGAGGTGAGACCCCTCTCCATCCTCCTGGGACGGGCAGGACGGCAGGAAGCGCTGGGCTCCCCCAAGGGCCCTGCAGGCCTGGGCACGGCACTCACCCTGCGCTCGCCCCTAGTACCTGAAGAAGCTGCACATGCAGGAGCGGGCGGTGGAGGAGGTGAAGCTGGCCATCAAGCCCTTCTACCAGAAGCGCGAGGTGACGAAGGAGGAGTACAAGGACATCCTCCGCAGGCCGTGCAAGAAGGTGGGCGCTGGCGGGCCTTGCCGTCTCGCTGGCACGGCCTCGGGTCTGAGTGGAGGGAGGTGCTCTGGCCCTGGCACCACGAGGGCGCTTGGGAGGAATGAGTGGTGCTAGGGCAGCGGCCCCCTCGCTTGTTAAACAGGCTCAGTCACAGAGTGGGCTCCTGGCCATCATGGTGGGACCCTCAGTGGCCCTGGGAGGTGGGTACAGCGGGCCCCCAGGGCCCAGTCCTGGCAACCACTGAACATGTCTGGCTGTGAAAAGACCTCTGGGTAATTGTGCCTCCCCCTCCCCCAGATCTGCCACAGCAAGAGCGGGGAGATCAACCCTGTGAAGGTGGGCAACCTGGTAAAGGCCTACGTGGACAAGTACAGGCACATGCGCCGGCGGGGCGGCGGTGCTCAATCCCCTGCCCCGCTGGGACCCTCGAGGGGGAAGGGCGGCAGCTCAACCTTCGAGAGCTTCCGGATCAATATTCCCGGGAACACGGCGCATTCCAGCAGACTCTCCAGCCCCGGCTTCTGCCACACGTTCCAGCCTGTCGACGATAAGGCGCAGAGGAAAGAGAACCCCGCCCCCCTTTTCTCCCTCAGGAAGACTAAGCAGCTCAAGAGCGAGATCTATGACCCGTTCAACCCCACGGGCTCGGACTCCAGCTCTGCAGGCAGCAGCCCTGAGCGCCTGGGCCCCGGCCTCCTGCCCTCGGAGATCACCCGCACCATCTCCATCGGGAGCCCCAAGGCCCCACCCTCGCAGACCGTGCGGTGTGTCACCTCCTACACGGTGAAAACAGTCTTTGAGACGGAGCCCGAGCCCTCTCGGGGGCCGCCCTCCAGCCTGCTCCAGCTCCG